TGTATGCTGAGGCGCTGAAAGCGCGGTTGGGTGACATCGTCACTGTTCGCCTAGCGACTGGGACACATTTCACGGTTCCGAAGGTCCCTGTGAAGCTCGGAGTCAAGTTTTTTTACTTTGATAGCGTGGAACGCGGTCTAGTCTTATACTTGGATGCAAGGTATGACCTCATCCTAGGAATGACATGGTTGGAACACCATGAGCCATGAATTGATTGGATGGAGGTCAAAGACCTTGGGCGCTACGTGCACGTCTCCTGGTGGAGCTTTGGCAAGTCATGAACCCACCTCTGCTAGGAGACAAAAGCGCTATTGGCGAGAGCACCGAACCGAGACGGTCAACGTGCTAGACATTAGAATGTACCAGTTGGTAGACGCCAATGGTGTATTGGACAGGAGTCTTGAGCGTGGCTCGCGGGCTGATCGTGGAGTGGCACGTGGCCCACTGAGCGCTGCTCAAGTGTCAAAGCAGTCGCCGTATGTCATGCGTGACATGGTCGGCCAAGAACCGAGGCATCTTAAGCATGGTCCTTCAGATGCGCGTGGAGTGGCACGTAAGCCACTGAGCACTGCTTTCGTTGTGAAGCAGTCGCTGCATGCCATTGATGGCGTGGTCGGACACAGTCCGAGGCATCTTGGGCTTGGCTCTTTAGATGCGCGTGGAGTGGCACGTTATCCACTGGACGAAGACTGCGGGTTAGCAGTTCTTCGTCGAATGTTGTCAATAACATCGGAGCTGCAAAGGAGCGGAAAGTAGGGGTGACACTGAACGACGCGGAGTGCGTGTCCACCCTGGTCTTACCGAGACGTAGAACCTCTGTACAGAGGCGACGGCGACGCCGTATGTTGGCTGCAAGACGCCGGGCGTCGACCCTGATCCAGGGTGTGTTTACCGCAGATGACGGTGCACAGTTATACACCCTCGTCAACGGTATGACGGTAGAAGAAGATGGCGACGTCCGCCTCAAGGCTATGCCTGCAGTAGATGCTCTACTTGAGCTGGTCGAGATGTCCCTTGAAGAGTTCGACAGTGTCTTGACGGCAGAGGA